GCATCATGGAAAAGGCTCATTAGTTGAAGGAATACAAAGATACAAATACAAAGATGTATTCCTCAGACGAAAGTGTCCCTCTGCCCCTGTGGCATCCCCTCATCCAATCAATGAAAGAGTTATAAAAGAGTTAAAAAAAACATTTCTGCCACTTACCTAAAAAAAATATCAAAACAGTAAATAATTTTAAAAGTTTATCCAAAAACATTAATTACATCAACTCTGTATCATATCACTTGATCAAGGCAGTCCTGGTCCATCATTTGTCACAAAGGTGTTGAACTGACAGTTTTGGAACAACATGGGTGAAAGCAGGGGCGGGCTGGGGGGCAGGGAGGCAATTGCCCCCCAGGCCGCCCTAAATCATTTTAAAACCGGCCGCTGCAGGGCTGGTCCTAAAGCTGCAGCCGCCTGAGCGCTCTGTAAAGACACAATGCAAACCCTTACACACACATGCAAACACACACTGCTTTTCTTATATACACACAGAAACACAATGCATCTCTTACGCACACTCAATGCACACACATACAGACACACACCTTACATCCCTTAAGCATACAAACACAGATTCACACAATGCATTCACACAATGCATCCCTTACACACAATACATCCCTTATACACAAATACACACTGCTTCCACTACACACAAACACACTGCATCACCTGCACAAACTGGTAACCCTATACACTACATACTATAAGCACACATATTAGATCCTCTACAATAACACATAACACATCCCCTACACACTCCACTCCCTTAAAGAGACACTATAGTCCCCAGAACCACTTCAGCTTAATGAAGTGGTTCTGGTGTCTATAGCTGGTTCCTGCCGGCTTTTTAATGTAAACACACACTGTGTGCAGCACTGGCGTTAGTTCATATGGGTGGGGCATTGTGATGTCACATGGGGGGGCAGCAAATTTTTATTTTGTCTAGGGCGCCAAAAATCCTTGCACCGGCTCTGATCCTGGGCATGTGCACCAGTCTACTGGTGACCCACAGGAGGGGAGTGCACTGATTGCACAGCACTCTCCTCCTTCCAGACCCGTCTTTACCGCAGTGCAAGTGCCCTCTGCCCCTAATTTACAGTGGCTCACACTCACAGCAAGCATTGCCTGGAGCACTTTGCAGAGACAGGAACAAAGAGGTTCTGCGGCTGCTGGCTGTCCTGCAAGCATTACATTAACCAGCTGTTACCCATTCAGCCACAGGTGGCTCTGTGCTGGGAGAATGTGATTACTCTTCACTTCCTCCCAACCTACAGAGCAGCGCATGGCAGAGAGAGAGGAGGAGGCATGATTTAATCTTACAACAAATCCACTAAGCAAATCTTTATAAATTTGGGCGGGGGGAGGGGAATCAGCTCTGTTTCCGCAGTTTATTGGTGTTTACTCTGATGTCTGTATTAATATTGAGAGATTTCTAAGTAGTAACATCAGTGTGTGTCAGCAGGGCCAGCCGTTGGGGTGTGCAAGCTGTGAGGTCACGCAGGGTGCCATGACAACAGAGGCGCCCGGCGGCCAACACAGCTCACAAGTTGGGGACACCAGTATATTCAATTTAAATGATTCGCTGGTGGTCCACTGGTGTGCACCAGCAGTAGGTGCAGTCAGATTATATCCTCTCCCTCGTGGTTCCGGCGCTCAGTTAGTGAGTCAGAGCACAGGCTCAGAGATTCTCAGCCTGCGCTCTGACAACATTGAAAGTCAGAGCCATGAAGGATGAGGTATGGCAAAGAGCTACTGATTAGCATAACATCAATATCCGTTATAAAACCAGGAAAAGGTGGGCAAGGATGGTGAACTGATTTGGTGGTGCAATGGGCCACTTGACTGGTTTGCCCCCAAGGCCTAAGGCTGCCAGCCCTCCCCTGGGTGAAAGTAATACCTATGACAAAATATGCATGAAATGTGTTAGTACATATCTTAGCATTAATTAATCCACAGTCTTAAAATCAAAGTCATTGTCGAATCGATATCTGTCTTTGTTATTGATCTGTTATTGGCATTTAAAGTGTTCCTGTTCTAGCAACTAAAATTATAGAACTCTTAAATTCATCTATATATCGTGCTAATGCTAACAAAATGTTGGTTCAAATAAAGTGTTGATATCGAGTATATTTAAAAAATTAGCAGTATATAAATATCAATATAATGCTGCTTTAACCCATAAGTGACCGCAGACGTACAGGATATGTCAGCCAAAAAACGGTTGTTAACCCTGTATGTCAAATGATAAATATACAAACACGATGAAAGAGAATCTAACACAGAGTCCGTGATTTGGGGTAATTAGGGCATAACCCAACATAGAAATCAATAATAAGATTAGTACAGAGTAGTCAGAAACAAGCCCAATTACCCTTATTAAAGTACTAGTCCAACATTGGAATGAGAGAACCTTAAAAATGTATAATTCACAACGTTATTAAATCCCTATAAGGATTATACAAAAACACACACAAAAAACAGTGTCAGAAAAATGTGATAAAGTAAAAAAAATAGAAAATAAATAGAATTGGACAAGCAGATGGATCCTATATAGATACTCAGAATGATCTCCCAACTTGGAAATTGACTAGAAAGCAGGTGAACGTATGTTGCAAAAATGCATCCAAATTGAAAGCACCCAACTAAGTCTTATGAGCTGCTGGGTGCTAGGAGGCAGACGAAGGAAGTTTTGAAATCTCATAAACCATCCCATAGCACTACCCAAATAGTTAACCTGTCATGTCGTACTCTTAACCATCTTGAATCAAATGTTTTACAAAAAGGTTTATCATTTGTACTGGTCCCAGCTTTTAATAAGTTTGCATGGATTAAAGGTCTGCATTTGTTTGCCAGGAAACTTGCTTTGCTCAAATACCACAAATTCCAGACAGAGAGAAGGGCCAGAGATCTATGCCGGCCTATTAGAGACTACGATTGTCTAATTACTCTTGTGTCTCTACTAGAAGAAAATGATGAAACTACTACTCATGGACACACAGATCTGAAACCTATGAGTCTTTTCACCCCAAATATAGGCAGCTTCCGAAATATTGAGCTATTTCTCGAGGCAGTAAAATTTGAAATTGAGAAAATTAAACTGTTGATTTGCAGTTTTATCGGAACATGAATTTAACCAAACATGAAAACAAAGCTCTGTAGTCCCTCAAAAAATACAACGGAAATATAATAAAACTTGCCGATAAGGGGGCAACATTGTTGTCATGAATTCAGCAAACAATGTTGAGATGGCTCATAAGATTCTTGAGGACAGAGATACATACCATATTTTAAAAGCTGATCCCACTAAGGTATTCTTAAATGAAAACAAATACATTTTAGATACGGGCCACAGCAGAGGGTTGCTATCTAAAGATAAATTTGAATTCATCTTAAATCGTAATTCAAGGATAGCAAGCTTCTACTGCTTGCCCAAGATACATAGGGATCTACAAAATCCCCCCGCATGCCTCATAGTATCCGGGGTTGATAACCTTACGCAAAATGGGAGTATCTATATCGATAGAATCTTAAGACTGTATGTAGAACCCCTACCCTCGTTCATCCAAGACACTAAACAGACCCTGGCTCTTCTCTTTGATCTGAGTGTGCCTGACTGCACTTTGCAGTCTGGATGTGGAATCTCTGTATTCCTCAATGCCTCATGAAGGAGGTGTGGCAAAACCAACCTCGCCACTATGCACTGGAGAAGCCTGGTTGCCAGCCTCCTGCCATCTGACTATGGCCCCCTTGTGAAGTCGTACTTTTGTATGCAATATTTGGGCATGGGACATTCTTATATTGCTGCTACTGGCCATTTAAGGGCCATCCGTGAACATATTCTGCCTGTTAGGAATAATGTCTTTTTGAGACTGTGTAGCAAATTGCATTCAGGCTGTATTTAATATTATGTGTTCGGTATAAAGTGTTATGTGAATGCAGCATTCCCCTGATTGTTCGGTAGAATCACTTCATTCATTATATTGGGTGAAACTACCGAACAACCAGACCACCCGGGAGTAAGTGTGCCTCCAATTACCGTTTGCAACAATGTTGCAAACGGGTAATTGGCAATATGTGTAATGTGTGTCCTCTGGGTGGCCGCCATTCGGGAAACGAACACGTGGCGGCGGCCATCTTAAACTCCCGAACAGCGGTGTTTTGCCGTCGAGTGTCTGGAACTAAAATCGGACACTCGACTAAGCAAACACCGCTGAGACCTCCAGACTTCCAGCAATTCGTGCAGAAACTACCGAACGGCCCGCCGTTCGGTAGAAAGGATCCCACGAACAGGGGGATTCATACAAATCCTCCCCAAGCTCCATAACCCAGGCAATTCGTGTGATTCATTCCCTTTTCTGTGACCGACTGCAGGGCCAAAGTACATGGAACTATTTTCGGATACTTTTGCCATGCAGTCGGTCAAAACTTTAACCCTTTATAATTCCTGAACCCCTGGTCCGATCTGGGTGATTTTTGGATATGTGTCTCACCCAGATCAGGGTTACCAGGGGATGTAACATTTAAAGGGGTATTCCTATGTTTAGGGGTACATCCAGTATCCCAGGGAATTTGTGTCTGTACTAATGGGATTATGTGTCACACTAAGGGGAGGAGATGTGTGGGATGTAACTGGTACATTATTGGCTGGGGCACTAATTGTTGTGGATCCCTCCCTTGCATGGGAGAATGTCTTAAAAGGAGGCTGTGTGAATAAATCTAGAGATTCTGCTTAACCCTCAAAACGAAGTGTCGTCTCGTTATTGGGGGAATTGGATTGTGTGCTGACTGCCAGGAGTGTAAGCCGTTCGTATTGCTTTTCCTGTTCGGCTGCTTCCAGGGTTCCTGTGTCTGCTGTTCGAGAGTTGGTGAACACGTGCAGTTTGGAGTTCAGGAGGTTGGTGATTGCAGTAGCTGCTGGTCTATGGGAAAAGGGATTATCGCCTAAACCGATTTTATCCCCTTGTGAGAGAAACGGTCCGTTACAATTGGTGGCAAGCGGCGGGATCGTTCCTACAACCAGAAAGACAGCTACAGGGCAACACCATTCCTTGGATTACAAAGTGAGGGCAACGCCAGTACCCGTACAGCGACCCTATCTACAAAAGAACTAACTTCAGCAGCGCAAGCATGGCACCCAGCTACACTCAGGAGCAGTATGACAGAGAGTTTACCATGCGGCTGGCTTTCTTTGGACCCAACCCCCCGGAGAAATACGTGCAGTTTGTAAGGAGCCAGGTAGACGAGTACCTGGAGTTCATGGCAGATCCAGCCAAAGGTATCAGCCGCCCTATCCGGAGGCAGAGTGCGTTACGGGGACTCATAGGTGTGTCCCAGGGAGCAGAAGGTGTCGTCCTTCCTCCCCAGCGGCAGTGTGTATCCCAGGGAGCTGAAGGTACCGTCCTTCCTCCCCAGCGGCAGTGTGTATCCCAGGGAGCTGAAGGTACCGTCCTTCCTCCCCAGCAGCCGTGTGTGTCCCAGGGAGCTGAAGGTGTCATCCTTCCTCCCCAGCAGCAGTGTGTGTCCCAGGGAGCTGAAGGTGCAGTCCTTCCTCCCCAGCGGCAGTGTGTGTCCCAGGGAGCAGAAGGTGCCGTCCTTCCTCCCCAGTGCGGTGCAGTGTGTACCCCAGGGAGCAGAAGGTGCCGTCCTCCCCCAGCTCAGTGTGGTCCCAGGGAGCAGAAGGTGCCGCCCTTCCTCCCCAGCGCAGTGTGTGTCCCAGGGAGCAGAAGGTGTGCCCCTCCCCAGCGGCAGTGTGTGTCCCAGGGAGCAGAAGGTGCCGTCCTTCCTCCCCAGCGGCAGTGTGTCCCCCAGGGAGCAGAAGGTGCCGTCCTTCCTCCCCAGCGGCAGTGTGTGTCCCAGGGAGCTGAAGGTGTCGTCCTTCCTCCCCAGCGGCAGTGTGTACCCCAGGGAGCTGAAGGTGCCGTCCTTCCTCCCCAGCGGCAGTGTGTATCCCAGGGAGCAGAAGGTGTCGTCCTTCCTCCCCAGTGGCAGTGTGTACCCCAGGGAGCTGAATGTGCCGTCCTTCCTCCCCAGCGGCAGTGTGTACCCCAGGGAGCAGAAGGTGCCGTCCTTCCTCCCCAGCGGCAGTGTGTGTCCCAGGGAGCTGAAGGTGCCGTCCTTCCTCCCCAGCGGCAGTGTGTACCCCAGGGAGCTGAAGGTGTCGTCCTTCCTCCCCAGCGGCAGTGTGTATCCCAGGGAGCTGAAGGTACCGTCCTTCCTCCCCAGCGGCAGTGTGTATCCCAGGGAGCTGAAGGTACCGTCCTTCCTCCCCAGCGGCAGTGTGTACCCCAGGGAGCAGAAGGTGCCGTCCTTCCTCCCCAGCGGCAGTGTGTGTCCCAGGGAGCAGAAGGTGCCGTCCTTCCTCCCCAGCGGCAGTGTGTCCTGCAGGAAGCGGAGACAGTCGGTCTCGCTCCCCAGCAGCAGGACAATATATTAAAAGGGGAGACAGTTGGTCCCCCTCTCCAACAGCAGAGAGTGTTCCAGGGAGAGGAACCAGTTATCACCTCTCCCCAGCAACAGGACGAATTATTGAAAGGGGAGACAGCCGGTCTCCCCCTTCAACAGCAGAGAGTGTGTCAGGGAGAGGAGCTTGTTATCCCCTCTCCCCAGCGGCTGAAAGTATGTATGGGAGAGGAGCTTGTTACACCCTCTCCCCAGTGGCAGCTTAGCCCACCAAGGGGAGACAGTAATCTCCACAACAGTGCAGAGGGGACAGTAGTCGCTGCACATGCACCACCGGGGGTAGGGACAGTCGGTCCTGTCACCCAGCAGCAGGACTGTTTAGGCAAAGGGGAGACAGTCTGTCTTCTCCTCCAGCAACCAGGCTCCAACCAGACTGCTCCCATGGTAGTGCTGGCACCAGGACAGAGTACCGCTGGTCTCTGCCCACTCAGCAACCCACCCAGTACGCTGACCAGTCTCCCCCACAGCCATGGTGAGGCACCTGGACACGGACAAAGTTCTCCGCTACCCAGGTGTAGTAGCCAGTTATTGTGGGTGGGCTGTATTACTGATTGTGTTTTGTGGGTGGGCTGCTGGACTAACAAGGGCACTGACCGGCAGGAGGTCAGATACCCTGTTAGTCTGATTGGTAAAGGGGAGAAGTGTGGCGGAACCAACCTCGCCACTATGCACTGGAGAAGCCTGGTTGCCAGCCTCCTGCCATCTGACTATGGCCCCCTTGTGAAGTCGTACTTTTGTATGCAATATTTGGGCATGGGACATTCTTATATTGCTGCTACTGGCCATTTAAGGGCCATCCGTGAACATATTCTGCCTGTTAGGAATAATGCCTTTTTGAGACTGTGTAGCAAATTGCATTCAGGCTGTATTTAATATTATGTGTTCGGTATAAAGTGTTATGTGAATGCAGCATTCCCCTGATTGTTCGGTAGAATCACTTCATTCATTATATTGGGTGAAACTACCGAACAACCAGACCACCCGGGAGTAAGTGTGCCTCCAATTACCGTTTGCAACAATGTTGCAAACGGGTGATTGGCAATATGTGTAATGTGTGTTGTGTCCTCTGGGTGGCCGCCATTCGGGAAACGAACACGTGGCGGCGGCCATCTTAAACTCCCGAACAGCGGTGTTTTGCCGTCGAGTGTCTGGAACTAAAATCGGACACTTGACTAAGCAAACACCGCTGAGACCTCCAGACTTCCAGCAATTCGTGCAGAAACTACCGAACGGCCCGCCGTTCGGTAGAAAGGATCCCACGAACAGGGGGATTCATACGAATCCTCCCCAAGCTCCATAACCCAGGCAATTCGTGTGATTCATTCCCTTTTCTGTGACCGACTGCAGGGCCAAAGTACATGGAACTATTTTCGGATACTTTTGCCATGCAGTCGGTCAAAACTTTAACCCTTTATAATTCCTGAACCCCTGGTCCGATCTGGGTGATTTTTGGATATGTGTCTCACCCAGATCAGGGACCAGGGGATGTAACATTTAAAGGGGTATTCCTATGTTTAGGGGTACATCCAGTATCCCAGGGAATTTGTGTCTGTACTAATGGGATTATGTGTCACACTAAGGGGAGGAGATGTGTGGGAGGTAACTGGTACATTATTGGCTGGGGTACTAATTGTTGTGGATCCCTCCCTTGCATGGGAGAATGTCTTAAAAGGAGGCTGTGTGAATAAATCTAGAGATTCTGCTTAACCCTCAAAACGAAGTGTCGTCTCGTTATTGGGGGAATTGGATTGTGTGCTGACTGCCAGGAGTGTAAGCCGTTCGTATTGCTTTTCCTGTTCGGCTGCTTCCAGGGTTCCTGTGTCTGCTGTTCGAGAGTTGGTGAACACGTGCAGTTTGGAGTTCAGGAGGTTGGTGATTGCAGTAGCTGCTGGTCTATGGGAAAAGGGATTATCGCCTAAACCGATTTTATCCCCTTGTGAGAGAAACGGTCCGTTACAGGAGGTATCCAACACATTCAATTCTGCCTAAAAAAAAGGGGACAGACTACCAATCACAGTAGAGTGATCATTCATTTTGAAGCTCCTCAAGTTTATACTTTCACACAACTATTTCCTCTTCAACAGCAAATTTTACCACCAGGTATGGGGCACTGTGATGGGGACAGCTTGTGCCCCATCGGATGTCAACCTGCACCTAGGTTGGTGGGAAGAGGTGGTCATTAAGTCAGACAAACTTTCATCATACATTCCCATGATACACCTTTGGGTCAGATATATAGATGATATTCTGGTTGTGTGGAAGAGTACTCTCGAAGATCTGTATGTTTAAAAGTGTCTGTTATTATCAAGTTTAGAAGTGTGCTCATTACAGCTAAGATACAGGGTGCCCTACAAAAGGGCATAAAACCCTTTATGAAGCACTACAGGGGGACTCCAACTAAACACCTCACGCACATGCCACAAAAACAATATGCACAGCTCTATACGTCGGCAACACATGCCTTTATGATGGACACCCTGTCTCCCACTAAGAAAGAAACAATGTGGTGTGCAGCAGGCTCCCATACATCCCCAGCACGAGTGCCGGAAAAGAAATAACCGAACTTAAATACTCCGTCCGACCAATTCATCCCACGATAATGAGATAATAATATTATATTCACAATAAAGAGGCATATGCCAATATTTTTTGTATACACCCCTATATACTTATTAATCCTTAATAGGGAACACATGGGATGGGTGGCAGCATGGTAACAAGGCTGTGGGATACAAAGTAAATACAAATACAAAAAGAGAAGTCCTGCGCTCACTCCCATCACTACTGGGATGGCAGCAATGACTACAGTACACATCAGCCCCAATATATAGTAAACACCAAAGAAAAGAAAAAGTTACCTGTGCTCTCTCCTTAATCCCTATGTATATTTAGACAAATGGAGGTCATTTAGTTGCTCCAATGGCCATTGGAGGGAATGCCCACCTGCCAACGTCAAAGCAGACCTCCCTAAACGGGTCCTAACACTGACCCTTCAGCCTGCTTCTTTGAGCTTCTGGCAAAGATATCTCTAATGAGACAGAGGGGTATTTTGTATATACACCCCTATATACTTATTAATCCTTAATAGGGAACACATGGGATGGGCGGCAGTATTGTAACAAGGCTGTGTGATACAAAGTAAATACAAATACAAAAAGAGAAGTCCTGCGCTCACTCCCATCACCACAGTACAATTACCACAGTACACATGGAAGTGATGTTCAAATGATGCTATTGTTTTTCACTAGAAGTTTGTGAGATGTAATGGTCACAAATTGTGTTGCCAGTGGTGTTTAAAAAGTGTCTAAGTTATAACTTAATGTATGAAGGGGGTAAAATTAAATTCCTCATTGAGGCCATTAGGTGTTAGAGTTTGAAATTCGTAAATCCACCTGGACTCTTTCTGTAACAGTATTAGATTGAAGTTTCCTTTTCTGGAATTGAGAATATCTCTTTCCAGGGCTTGGAATGACAGATGTCTGGCATTCCCATCGTGAAAATTTCGAACGTGATTGGCAACAGGGGTGACCAGATTGGGATTATTCACAGAATTAATATGCTGTAGAATACGTCTTCTGAATTCTTGGTAGGTCTTACCAATATATTGCTTTCCACATGTGCAGGTTATGACATAGATCACTCGAGTGGTACTGCAATTAATAAAGTGATTAATTCTGAATTATTTTTTAGTGTTTTCACATTTAACTGTTTTGAAAGGTTTAACAAATGGACAGGCCTTACAATGTCCACACCTGTAAATCCCCAATGGTGTCGTGAGCTACCTTTTTGAAGATGGTTTTCTTTCTAGATGGCTGTGCACTAGAAGGTCACGAAGATTTTTTGACCTACATGCTGTGATGTTCGGATAAGCAATTGATTGGGGGTTCAGGTCTGTATCATACTGTAAAACAGGCCAATGTTGGGTAAAGATGTCCTTTATAGGTTGCCACTGTTTGTCGAAGGTACCAATGCATCTTATCATCTGGTTGGTGGGGATAGGTCTGGTTGACCGAAGGCTGTTGCTCCTAACTTGATTGAGAGCTCTCTGAAAGGCTTTCTTTAAGATTCTATTAGGGTATCCTTTGTTCTTGAATCCAATGCACAGTTTATTAGCCTCGGCTTGAAAGGACTCGTCATTGGAGCAATTCCTCCTTGCCCTCAAGTACTGTCCATATGGTATCCCTGCCTTGAGACGATATGGATGAAAACTCTGCCAATGGAGGAGGCTGTTTGATGCCGCACTCTTCCTACAGAGAGGGGTATTTTTTGTATACACCCCTATATACTTATTAATCCTTAATAGGGAACACATGGGATGGGCGGCAGCATGGTAACAAGGCTGTGTGATACAAAGTAAATACAAATACAAAAAGAGAAGTCCTGCGCTCACTCACATTACTACTGGGATGGCAGCAATGACCACAGTACACATGGAAGTTATGTTCAAATATTGCTATTGTTGTTCACTAGAATTTTGTGAGATGTAATGGTCACAAATTGTGTTGCCAGTGGTGTTTAAAGTGTCTAAGTTATAACTTAATGTATGAAGGGGGTAAAATTAAATTCCTCATTGAGGCCATTAGGTGCTAGAGTTTGAAATTCGTAAATCCACCTGGACTCTTTCTGTAACAGTATTAGATTGAAGTTTCCTTTTCTGGAATTGAGAATAACTCTTTCCAGGGCTTGGATTGACAGGTGTCTGGCATTCCCATCGTGAAAATTTCGAACGTGATTGGCAACAGGGTTGACCAGATTGGAATTATTCACAGAATTAATATGCTGTAGAATACGTCTTCTGAATTCTTGGTAGGTCTTACCAATATATTGCTTTCCACATGTGCAGGTTATGACATAGATCACTCGAGTGGTACTGCAATTAATAAAGTGATTAATTCTGAATTATTTTTTAGTGTTTTCACATTTAACTGTTTTGAAAGGTTTAACAAATGGACAGGCCTTACAATGTCCACACCTGTAAATCCCCAATGGTGTTGTGAGCTAACTTTTTGAAGATGGTTTTCTTTCTAGATGGCTGTGCACTAGAAGGTCACGAAGATTTTTTGACCTACATGCTGTGATGTTCGGATAAGCAATTGATTGGGGGTTCAGGTCTGTATCATACTGTAAAACAGGCCAATGTTGGGTAAAGATGTCCTTTATAGGTTGCCACTGTTTGTCGAAGGTACCAATGCATCTTATCATCTGGTTGGTGGGGATAGGTCTGGTTGACCGAAGGCTGTTGCTCCTAACTTGATTGAGAGCTCTCTGAAAGGCTTTCTTTAAGATTCTATTAGGGTATCCTTTGTTCTTGAATCCAATACGCAGTTTATTAGCCTCGGCTTGAAAGGACTCGTCATTGGAGCAATTCCTCCTTGCCATCAAGTACTGTCCATATGGTATCCCTGCCTTGAGACGATATGGATGAAAACTCTGCCAATGGAGCAGGCTGTTTGATGCCGTACTCTTCCTACATAGTTCGGTGTCTACCGTGCCATCCATGTTTAATAGGATTCTAAGATCTAAGAATTCCAATTGAGATTCATGGATAATGTGTGTGTGAGTTTCAGTCCTATCTGGTTATTGTTGAGAACTTTGACCATATCTGTGAAATTGGTACAGGAACTAGTCCAGAATATCAGAATATCGTCGATATATCTTAGCCATTTGTGGATGTATTCCTGGTATTGGTTTGAAGTTATGTCTTTGAGCATGGTTTCTTCCCACCACCCAAGGTACAAGTTGGAATAACTTG